TTAATACGTGCTGTCGACCGTTAATTTGCGCGCATTCCGGAGTCGCGCGACGTTCGATGATACGTGCCTAACAGCACTCACAATCGCGCGACATTGGCGTGCTGTCACTCAAGGCCGAAGATTGGGTTACGCACATGCGACAGATTTGTTTCATCTACTTTCCCATTGTGCGATGGTACGACGCGGCACGCGCAGGTACTTGGCGAGTTCGCGGAATTGAATTATTGGTCATGACATCAACGAGGAAAGGAAAACGCAGTCGGAATGATCTTCGTATTTTTTTGTTCTCAATGTTTTGCGGTTGCGATTATCATGGGATTCTCCGCCTTCGATGAGGCAACCGCGTGCTAATCGTATATAGATGATACACTGGAAATTATATGAGTCTAAAACGAGGGACTGTCGGCTTGGAAAGTCGCGCTTCGCGTGGGTTCGCGCAAGTGGATAATTATGCCCTGACTCCCGGATAATTGCCCGCCGATAGTGGCTCTCCGTATTTAACATTACGCAAATTTAGCACGGCAAATTATCATACGCGCAACTGTCGACGTACTCGTACGCGCAGACGTCTTGTAATCCTACAGGGTGCGCCGAAGATTTACCGTACAAGAAGTATCGCCGCGAAATCATTCAATAATAAAATCTCTGGAAAATTCATTTCAATCGCGAAGCTCATTTCAATTCGATCGAGGCCGGTTTCACGGCTCGTTTCGTCGTCGCGCGAGGATAAGGGAAGCTTTCGCACGTCGCGAGCGTTCTCGTCGCGCGTCCTAGTCGAGAATCCTCCAGTGGCGAATCGCTCTGTCGTTCTCCAGACGAGGGTAGTCTACTGCCGGACACCAGCAGTGACGTCGTCGAGAATAATGACTCGGTGGCCGCCGCAAGCGATGGCGCCTGCGTGAACGACCGCATGCTGCATTATCATCAACACCAGCATCAGCAGCATCCTCATCAGCAACAACAACATCAGCAACAACAACAACAACAGCAGCAGCAGCAGCAACAGCAACGTCATCATCATCATCATCATCAGCTGCAGCAACAGCAGCAGCATCATCCGTCGGCGGGGTCAGAACTGGACGATTTCCTGCGATACCGCGGTACCGGAACCACGACCGGACAGAGACAAGAGGAGATGGTGGCGCAGGAAATGGCACAGGGCTACACGCAGCTCCTGCACTCGGCGGCGGCGGTGCCGGCCCAGGAGACGCCGGAATACATCTCGCTGGAGGAGCTACAGCCGCGCATCCACCATCAGGAGCATCACCGCACCGTGCACGACACCTGCACGCAACTGGCCACGTCCGCCTCGCAACTCTATCATCAGCATCATCAGCATCAGCAACAGCAGCAGCGAAACGGCGGCCAGCAGCAGCAACACCAACGAGATTATTATAATCTCTCGTCCGTGCAGTAAGTTCGGTTGTCTCGCTTTGTGTTCGTCGTCGCGAATGTGGTAATATGAAGGGTCTTAACAATTTTAATTAATATAGATATATGCAATGTATATCGATGAGATATATATATGAGTTCCTTACGAACGGAACTATGCCGCTACGTTGTTTTATGCGATACAATGTTATACGTATCGCATTGTGTGCGACAACAGTCACTAAGCCTCTCGACATAATCTGCTGGAATCGGCTTTGGAATTATGACCGGTGTTGTCAACACTGAATTAACCGGTGTTGTAAACACTATCGAGTCGGTAATACCTGAAATCACTCGGAAATTGGTTATCCGTGTATCTGAATGATATCTGGGGCCCGTTACTCGGGCAAATTAGCAAAAAGAGAAAAAAAAACGGCTTGCATTCACGTAATTACCTTAATAGACTGGTGCGTTACGTGGGTAAAATTCGTGATAAAATTTGTTGTTTTTTTTTATATGAGTCTACAACGCGTGTATACGACAAAAGGCAAAGCGAAGGACAGTGTCAGTCATCGTCAGTTCAACATTCACGCTCTTACGGATATAAATAGCGCACGTCCATAATAATGCATTAACGGCAACTCGAGTAAAACGCGTCGATGTCGTCTACACGAGATGATGAGCGATCGGTTGATAATCTCTCCATTCAATTCACTGTCCACATTGCTTCCAATTTTCGTTTCAACGTTTCGTAGTGTAAACTACGTGGAAACCAATAGGGGGGACTTTGGCACTTTCTATCCTATCTCTCTTTTTCGCTTTTTCCCGTTCCCGCACCCCGACGCTCGCGGGATATTTTGCACGAGTCGCGATACATTGCGTAATGCATCTCTTTATCATTGTCTCGCGGTACCGCAACGAATGTAATTTTCATGCACTAGGTTGGCTACTCGATCAGACGCACTCTCTCGCTTTCGCGTCCACGCCTTTGAAATTATTATTATTTTTTTTAAACATATACAAATGCCGTGCAACTCGTGATTTATCTCGACAACCCTAGCTAAAGTAATTATACCACGGTTAGACTGATTAGGCTTTGCCTAAAAAATTCTTCCAATGAAAATTAGATCGAGAGATGAGATAAGGAAGTCGTCGTCTCGCAAATAAAGTCGCGCGCGGCTGCACCTTACGTTGTAGAGGTTGAACTGAAGCACGCCCGCGGAGGATTAACTCGGATTCGTGGATTGCAGTCACTTGAGCATTACGTATGTCAGCTACACGCGAGTTTCCCACCTGTCGCATCGCATACGACATAACGTCGCCGTCGGCGCCGTTGTATATCTACGAATAAATAGAATTACGCTAATCGCCTGCATTACATCATAATACACGGAACTATCTGCCGTTGGCGAGATTGTCGGTAGACCTTGATCCCCGCGTTTTTCAAATCGTAAAACCAAAAGCAAACACGCGTGTCGTCTTGAAATCAACAATACCAAACAATTAGCCCGATTTTACCTTTTTTTTCTTTCTTTCTTTCATTTACTAATTACATCTAAGCAAAGATTCTCCAAAGAATTTTGGGGAAGTTTTAAAGATAAGATATCAAAATACTTTTTTTGATATCAATTTTAGTTTTATAAAAATAAAAGAGATAATCCTCGATTAAAAATAATTTAGATTATCCACGCGTGTTGAAAACACCATGCGATTAGCTGCGTGATTATACATGGGACTTGCTATATATCCCTATATGCTTAAATGCGATTGACAACCCGATAACGCAATCAAGATTTAATCGATCAGCAAAAGGTTTTATATACGGTCAAACAGGTAAGGCAAATCGAGTGATTGGATCAATATCGTTCGTAGGAGCTTATAGATCGTAAGGTCGATGACGATAGTTCAATACTCCCGGATGTGACGTTGGTGCAACTATACATTACACGCCCCGCATATGATTAGCGTACCTATGTACGAACAAAAATGTTGTGCACTCCCATACGACTCTGCAACTTTCCCTATTCCCTCGGGTCTTGAAAATATATAAATCTTGATAACTGAGTGGCTCGTTACTCAGAAGATAACGATTAGAAATTTTCAACGATGACATACAGGGAATTAAGTTTCTCTTTTAATAATTCTTCTTACAATAATCGCCCATATATTTTACTGAATTTTTAAACATTTTTTTTCATATATATTTATGTAATATAGAATTTATGGAAATGTATTTTTTTAATCTGTAATTCCCGCAGAACGTTGGAGAAACTTTATACCACGTGTTACGCACGAATGTTATGTGTTACATGATTTTACGCAGAGTGACTTCATCGATTTATTGAATCGACAGTCACTCTACACCTACGGCAGTCCATTTTCCGGCAATCGCGATTTTCGATTAGCGATCAGATAGTGCCGTCTGACTTGGCTGCTTAAAATTCCCTTGCAGAAGTTCGTGCCCCACGGTTTATTTCGGCGAGATAGGCACGGGTTCTGGGGTGGGAGAGCTAACCACCGCCTCGGCGGGGGGTGGTGGCGAAGGTCTCGCCCCGACTCCAACCCCCGCCAGCAGCAGCAGCGGCAGTACCGCCAGTACCACCACCACCCCCAGCAGCCCAAGCACGACCACTACAACTACCACCACCACCACCTCCACCAGCAGCACCGCCACCATCCCACAGGTTGCAACGGGGGCTGAACCGCCCCAGCACATGGAGACACCCCCGACGATGGTCCCCGACCAGCAGGCACCCGCCTCCGGCCATCACTATCACCACCATCACCACCATCATCATCATCATCATCGGCATCATCGTAGCACGTCTACCACGCCTAGCCATGGACCGGCGACCGACACCTCCGACGAGTTTGCACCGGTTTCCAGGAAGCGGAAGCTTTCTTGCCAGTAAGTCTAATCGTAATTTGTTCGAGAACCTTGAGGGTTTATGCCCCTAAGGGATTAACGGTTGATTTCACCAGTTTCTCTCAAACTAGGTACTGACTGAACTTGCGATAGGTCGTTAAACGTCCTTTTATTTAAGTTTGCCAATGCGGTCAATACATTATTAATAAATTAACAAACTTAAAATAATTTAAATTGAGAAAGTATATTATCCATAAATATTTTTTAGGATCATAAGATGGAAAATATAATGTAATTGTAATAAGTTTGCTTTAACTTATTTAAATTGAATATGAATTCGGGCTTCCAGAAAGGATCGACAATTTAACGTTCGCGAAATCAGAGGCCAGGGTGAAATCGACTGTGAACATTTTTAGCGCATCGTCGTCATCTCAAATGAACGAATAGAGAGAAGCGCTAGAAATGAGGCTCTTATCGGAAATTCTTGCGCGGAATCTCGCGCCACGTGGAACAACGTTCTTTTGTCCGTCGGTGCGTAGCGCTCGCAAGGGAAACACATCTAAGAATTGGCCGTGGTAACAACCGCTCCGTTTGCCGGAGCACAAAGCGTACGGCTCGCTCTCCGTGGCACGTAGGTGGAAGTCGTACCGCGGAATATTACACATTAGCATGAAGCGCGAAACGAAGCCCGCCAAATGTGCCCCGCCAAGAGTCTGTGGAGTCTCGCGAGCTGCGGCAAACAACCCGCGACAACTAGCGACTTACCTCCTCGGTCTCCCCGTCCCCGTCTCCCTCATCCACGGTTCTCGGTACTCATCGATGCCGATGTTTCGAGATATTTCGCCCGGTAGTTCCGAGTAATTACCCAATCAAGGTGTCGGATACGCGGTCAAAGGCTTAACTTAATCGTTGCGATGGAACGGAAGATTTGCCTCTCTCTCTCCCGAGACCCCGATCGGTCGAAATTGCCTTCGGCAATTACCTCCATTGCTCGCTCGCGGGCGCTATGCAGCTGGTGCGCGCTTGTCAAATAAACGTCATCGAAAAATCGCAATCTCCTTTTCGAGCGTCATGATCGCGAACGACGTTTTCGTGCGCCCCGTTCGCGTCATTCACGTGTCGGGGTTGTTCGTTGAATTTATTCTGCCTCGTCTGGAATTGAACAGGACGTAAAGTGCGCGATTCGCGGCGTCAACATTTTTTGCAGTACAAATCTATGAATATGCAATCATTATACAGAGATAATATACGTGTATCTATGTCTGAGAACCTGATCTCGTCGTCGATGGCGTTAAAGCAAGATTGAAATGCACGCGCGCATTTTTTTTTTATTGTAAATATTTACGCGTGTCTCTCGTTTCCGAGGCGAGTCTCTCGCGACGAAGGAATCGCGTCGACGAAATATTTCCTCGCGAGAACGGGAAACCCATGTGCGACTTTTCGAGCTCGAGACACAAAGGACGGTGGAGAGGAAGCTCTACGCGGGCGAAACTTCGTGAAATTTGCCGTCAAAGGGGTAACACCCTCTGCGAAGGTCGTAATATGCCGAAGAAATTGTTTTCCTGTGATGTTTCGACCGAATTTAGTCGCCACGAAGGGACTTCGTCAATTACGTACTTAGATTACTACGCGCGTTTAATCGGCAAAGTTATATCTCACAGGAGAGGATGGGGAATCGTTAAAATTAAAATTAATATTAATATTAAAAAATCATTTCTCACAATATTAATTTATTTATCTATTTATATATACATAAAATTTTTAATTTTCTTGTCTAACATTTCGTTGAAGAATCTCCATTGTTGTCTGTTTCAGCGTTGGAAGCGATCTCTTGGACGACCTGGGAGACGACGCTAAATCAGTTCGCACAAATGACGACAGTAAGAAGTAAGTAAACGTATCGTAAAGTATTCGAAAAGATATATTCGGTGCCCGGAAGGAGGTCGGGATTCCCGGAGCGAGAGCGCGCTCCCGCGATACAATCGGTCCGAACTTTTAACGTAATCGTCGATCGGCGATTACGTAGTATTATGTCAGATGCCAAGGTGAGTGCCAACCTTGACCTACCTCGATTCTTTGCTCCGGCTTCATCAGCGACGTCACTAAATCCGATGTATTACCTGCTGCCGTGCGATGCGAGTCGCTCCGCAAAAGCAGAGTCGTTCAGTCGCGAAAGCTTTTATTGCATTAACGATTGATTTCCAAACAAACGAATTTGCATAGATGTTGCAGACATCTAAAACAATATTGAAAGGAAAAAATCTCATAAAGCGACGCTTAAGAGAACTGCCTTGAACAGTTTCTTCAGATATCATGTACACTTGTATAACGAATATTACAGATGCATGTCGTATTATACATATATATAGATATAATTTATATTCGGCAATAACACGTACAGATCGGTAACCGGTGGAAAGACACCGGTGCTTCAAGGCACTTGTTTAACATATGTTTTATGCGGACACGCATTGAAGCCAGATATAAAAGTCTAACGGATATTACGATAACCATTACGATATGTCCACTTGAATCGAGACATAATTATGCGATATAATAGTCCGGCATAGAGTCCGGCATCGAGACCAGTTTTCGCCGCCGCGCCGCAACGATTTCCGCCGTGCAATTTATCCCCCTCCGGGCGTGATATGAATGCGAATTCTTGGGAGACAAATCAGCGTGCGCAATGAAAAGAGCGCCGTTGTATACGAGTCGACCCTTTCCCCCCTCACGTGCAATTGACACACGGCCTCGTCGGTTACCGATCTCGTCGTCGTCATCGTCGTCGTAACGCACGCGACAGCTCGAGCCTGCTGAGCTTTCGGGAAAAGTCAACGGGAAGGCGGGGGAAGCTTTAAAGACGCGCGTGGCCCCGGTCCACGTGGATGAAACCTTCGCAGAAAAGTCCGCTGTGGTCAGCAGACTATCTTACTATCGCTATCCTACATCGTTCGTAACTCTGCACATTCCGATCTTTGTTTCCGTTTCTTGTTTACATGAAACGGACGGTGGCAATGGGATTCCGCGCGACTAACGCAACGAGCGTTCACGTGGACATTCAATCCCTCAAAGAGGAAATATGAAATACGAGAGAAAATAATAGTAAGAGAAAAATACTTTAAGAAAGAGGAAATATGAAATACGAGAGAAAATGATAATTTGAGATATCGGCTCGATCCGTGACTCCCTTTCAGAAAGATGCAAAAACGTCGAATTTTTGTAATAGTATAATACACGTTTGTATCATCGAGGACATACACACGTGAGTTGTTCCACCCGTGAAATGTTCCAATGAACTCCCTATTTTATGCAGTTATGAAAGTTGTTACGTTTGGACGATGACTAGGCGTTTAATTCAATCATCATTTTTAATTCAAACTCCCGTCGTTAATAAGATTATAAATAGCGCTCTAAAGTATATACGTTTTTTTTTGCAATATCAGCTACATGTTTTTCATACATACAACCGTGATGTGGATTATAAATATTGTAATTTTATGAAGTTTCCGTACTCGTTATTTTACGAGTTATTCCCATTGGTGTCAGACACGTACAGACGTAATAAATCTCACATTCTTATCTGCGTCTCTCTATTAAAATCTGGCGAGCAGAACCGATGATTTTGTGCTTTCAGGCAGAACCACAGCGAAATTGAGAAGCGCAGGAGGGATAAGATGAACACGTACATCACCGAGCTGTCGGCGATGGTACCGATGTGCCACGCGATGTCGCGGAAGCTGGACAAGCTGACCGTGCTGCGAATGGCAGTTCAACACCTCAAGACTATCCTCGGCGCGGTTACCTCATACACGGAAGGTCACTACAAGCCCGCGTTCCTCACCGATCAGGAACTCAAGACGCTCATACTTCAAGTAAGTATACTTGAACGGCAGTTGTGTAACGTCTACATTGCAAACAACTGCTAGAGACTGACTTTAAATTTAAATTTTCACGATAAAAATAATGGAAAAACGAGTAGGCATTAAATATATATATATATATCTTTCTTCTATACACAATGAATAACACAATCGAAAGATCGGCAAATACTTTCAATTCTCTTTTATTACATTCCTATGAAAGAAACGTATTTTTTTGTTTCTTTTTCATAACAAATCAATAGATTATGATTTGCTCGCTTCGTTGCATCGTCATTCGCGTCTTGCTTGGTTTTAAAAGTGACATTTCTGAATAAACGCGATCGTGGTTACGCGCAAGCGTATATAATAGAAACTACAGTTCCTGGTATAGTTAACACGAAATTCATTTATGACACGTATTTTTGCCGCGGCCCGTAAAAGACCGAGCCTGGTATCTTTTGTAATCCTTTTGCACGAGATCGAGCGGAGCGAAACAGGCGGGTAACTCCCTTTCTCTCCCGCGTGCTACAGATTTTTATCCGGCCTGGTCTCGTGCCGCGGTGCGGCGCGGCGAAAGGAAAGGTCCGGAGCATGTAGATTTATAGTATCGCGCTAATAGTACCCTAGGCCGAGGCGCTCTCAAATCACCTACGCCTTTAATTTCGAACCAATTAGCGTGAAAGAGGTTCCAGGTAGTGGAGAACGTACGTCAGTAGATAGATTTTCTCATGTCGTAAACGAGCCTACGTGCGTTTATGCGTTCCGAAAATTTTTGGCTTCTTGACGAATTGGACTACTACTTACATTCAACTAAACTCTCCTTACATTCAAAAAAAGTCTTTCGACTTTTGATAACGCACACCTATAATGTCTGCCATAATTGTCTTGTCATTACAGTGAACTGAGTGAACATTATGTTATTATTATAAAGATATTTTTTGTTATAATGACAAGATCTCTTGAGGATTGAAATTCACTGCGCGCCAATGGCGTGCCAAAAGTGGCACATAATTATTCGCGACGATAGAAACGTATCGGCTGCGAAGCGTATACGCTTTGCCGCGTCCGCGCGAAGGAAAACGACGAAAAGGAACACACTCCAGCGACCGATAACTCCTATCCACCCTAGATTCCGCTCAAACGCGCGGTGCCGGACACAGACATTTCTCATTGTCATGTGTACACGTACACACGTTTATCTTTTATCGAGGGGGCTTTTTTCCCTCCACTCTCGTTCTCGCGCGTTCGACGTAGGAAAATATCTCCGAGAGTGAATGACCACGCCCGGCATGCCGAGCTCAGATCGGCTCTAAACGCGCATAATCGCGGCGTAAGGAGCTCCCCATTGCGAATCGGTGCGTTTACCGCGCTATCGAGATCCGGCTCGGTGCGTTATATAGCCGAGAACGTTAAACCTCCCGTCGATTATACGTGGCAAAAATCGGTATAAACGTCAATCGGCGCGCACTTAATCCGCGCGAAACTCGCCGTATACGGCGATAAACGTGTACACGTTTATCACGCTCGCTTCGACACCGAAAGTATCTCCGCGTCGCGGAGAGAAAGAAAGAGAGAGTTTCGCTCGGGGTTTTGATATTTCTGTCTTGATATATCCGAACTTTACGATTCGGGGAAACGTTAGGTGCGCGAGTAGCGCAACAGAGAAACTCGAGCACGTCGCTGTTGAGCCGCGCACGGAATCGCATTGACACGATTAATTAATGAACGTTACATGCGATCGACGATACGCCGATCGAACCTCGCCAACGATTATGTAACGCGAACGTTAGCTGGTGCAACGATAAATGATACGCGCGATGCTGATATCCAGATTGCGTTACCGGCGAAATCGCGAGCAAAATGTCATAGGCGACTCTTCGAGTGGCTGAATATACACGTGCGAGGAACGGGAAGTTGATCAAAATTTCTTATTCGAAGCGAATATTAACACGCTAACTGTCACTGTACGATATATAATTTCATCCCCTTTTTTATATCAACATGCAATTTTAATTATATTTATTTTTTGTCAAAATAAAATTTTTATTTTTTTCATCAACAGTCAGAGAATAGCTAATATTTATCTATCGATCTATAGATCGTCAATTACGAATCAACTCGAACGGCAATCAACATATTAAGTCAATACCAAATAGCTCAAATACCAAACAGCTTAAATACCAAATAGCTCAAATACCAAATAACTTGCGGGAAATAAATAACGTAATCTTTAATTTACGATGCGAAATGTTAATTGCGTTCTTGTCGACGTTGCGTTCGCTCATTAACGTCAACGAGCGAGGCCGCTGCGCGTCTTAATCGGATCGGTCTTAAATTCTTATTCCTAAAAATGATAACGATGCGCGGCTGCGAAGTTGGCGGGAAACGCACGACAAGCGAGATGTGCGATCTCTTCGATTGTGATTAACCGTTTGTTCTCCACAGCGTAATGGAAAGCAGCTTGTCTTGTTCCAGGCTGCGGAGGGCTTCGTCTTCGTGGTGGGCTGCGATCGCGGAAGAATTCTCTACGTGTCCGAGTCCGTCTCGCAAACTCTCAATTATTCTCAGGTACCGAGTCAGTCGTTATATTTTAGCTCTTCCAAATTTCCATCGCGCTTCGAAACCTATCAGCAATAAGAAATATTGAAATATAGCATACGAGAAATATCGGGTGAAAGGGAATTTACAACGCGCGCATAAGAATCCCCCTTCAATGGCTAATTAATCGTAACGTCCGTGCCACCATTAGCCTCTGTCTGAGTAATGTCTGCTGCGTATTCATTTCACTGATTATAAATTATGTCTTGAAATGGGTATTCAGTATGTGTTTGACTGACAGTGATCGCTATTGCCACCGTGTCGTAACATGGCTAATTTGCGAACTTATCAGTCGTTTGTCGTTTTCGTTCTTCCTCCACGATTTAATTACATTTCTGTTGTGAGTTTCGAAAATAATCGAGGCAATACAGCCAATGGCTTATAGGGGCCGAGCAAACATTTAAATAGTTGACGCTTGTTTCAAAGAAGAGCACCCGTTTTAGAAATCGGCATGAATATCACGAATTAAAAACAGATTAGACATTAAGCAATTTTAATTTTATTAAACAAGACACTTGCTTGGTCTCGATATAGTCGATTTATATTGCTTAGAATTTTTTTACTGAATCGCAAACTGAGGATTTTATTTTGCACAGGGCGACTTGCTGGGTCAAAGTTGGTTCGACATCCTGCACCCCAAGGACGTTGCGAAAGTAAAGGAGCAGCTCTCGTCCTCCGATCTCAGTCCGAGGGAACGACTGATCGACGCGAAAAGTGAGTATATCGGCTGTTGCTGGTTCCGCGTTGCTGCCGCATCTCTAGATTTCGCGCGGGCATTAATTTCTCCAGCGGCCGCGAAGACTTTCCGCCTTCGAAGCCATTAATTATAGCGCCTTTCGACGTGTTGCTTCATGCTCGACGCGTCGATCACTGCGAAACGCAAATTAGTTGCCGCGCGCATCTCCTCCACCACCTTCACCTGATAAATGTCAGTCGCTCGGCAGCATTTGCTCGCGTAAGCTTTGTCGATAAACATCTTTGAATTAGCGTGCCTACCAGATAAGAGCGTGTTGCGAAAGCTCCACGCCGAATGAAGAAAAGAGACGAAGAGTTGCCGAACGAGTCTAACGCTATAGGTTTATTCCTCGGTTGTTGCATCGCGAGACGATCTGCATGTCAAGCGTTCCGATCGTCAAAGTATTTGAGACATTAATAATTGCAACATTAATACCGTGTAATAAATGTTTGTTACGATAGAGTTATGAGAGATATATGAAAGAGAAATATCAGATGTATGATAGAAATAAAAGAGAGAAAACAGAGCGAGGTGGAAGGCAGCGATGGATGGAACTATTGATCGACGGATGGACCGTTGCTGTCATCGTGATTGTTTCAGCCATGTTACCGGTGAAAACCGACGTACCCCAGGGCGTATCACGACTTTGCCCCGGTGCGCGGAGATCTTTCTTCTGTCGGATGAAGCGTAAAGTCGACGGGATCCGTTGCGGTGAGATGCAGGTGAAGGAGGAAGCCGACACCGCCGCTGGCTGCCACAGGCGAAAGAAGCAACAAAACGTAGGTGAGTGCGAATAATTACCTACCCGAAAATCGTAATTTAATCGGGAATCGTGGAAAAATTGGGAACTCGGTGAAATTCATGAAAAGAATTATCTGTAAAGAAATCCATCAGAATTTATTGAAGCATTATTGAACAAAATTTTTTTTAATAAGAGAATGATCTTTTGCTGATCAATGAATATTTCACTTTTCACAAAATGATTACGCAAATGTACTGTCCGAATATTTTTGACCGTCGTATATTTTTCTAAATTAATATAACATTTTTTATGGAGAAGGGAAATAATTCCAAGTCATGTCTCTTCTTCAATGACGGATTCAATTTTCTCTCAAGAAGCAAAGCACTCGCAAAGCGAAAAAAATATGACCGTGACGATTCAGGGTGTTTGAATCGGGGATGCAAACGCGTCTTTCGGATAGCCACACGCACGATCGGAGATACGGCACGAAAATTTTGTCGCATGGCTCGTCAAAGGTGAAAAGGAGACACCATATATCGCAGTGAGACGCCGGTGAAAGGATCGCTGATATATCTTCATCAAATATCTTGCCGGCAGTCTTAAAAAGTCCCGATACTTTCCCTTTATTCATTTTCCGCAATTTTGTCTCTTCTACACACGTGTAAAATACAACAATACGTATAATGTATAAACCTATTATAGTATAATTAACGTAATTTGCAATGTTTGCGAATTCTCAATTGACAAGTCTGCACAGAGACGTGTCTTTTTTAGATTGGAAGTATTGCGTGATTCAGTGCACGGGTTACTTGAAGTCCTGGGCGCCCGCGAAGATCGGCCTCGAAGAGCAGGAGGGCGACGTCGACGAAACTTGCAATTTGTCTTGCTTGGTAGCGGTCGGCCGGGTCCAAACGGCGATATCGACGGCCACGTTGTCATCGAGAAAGCCTCATTCAAGGCCCATACAGTTCGTCTCGCGACACGCGATGGACGGCAAATTTCTGTTCGTGGACCAAAGGTCGGTATAGCGAGAATTAAAGATGTTATCGTCGGTCAACGTTATCGAAATATTCGAACATCTCGTGTATGTATATGAGAGAATTAACTTTTTCGTCGTTTAGAGCTACTCCAGTATTGGGATTTCTACCTCAGGAACTGCTGGGTACCAGTATGTACGAATACTATCACCACGATGACATTCCTCACCTGGCAGAATCTCACAAAGCCGCGTTGCAGACTTCCGAACGCGTTACCACGCAGGTGATTAGTGTCATTCACTTCGCAATTATCCCTTCGCGGTTATTAAAATTAATTTTAAAGCATTAAAGTGGCGCTCGATCGTCGACTAATGTAAAAAAAGATCTATGTCGACGACACGATAACAATTTCGCGTTTTGATCTCGCGCGTTATCATTTTCGCAGATCTACAGGTTTAGGAGCAAGGGCGGGAACTTTGTGCGGTTGCAGTCTGAGTGGAAGTCCTTCAGGAACCCGTGGACCAAAGACATCGAGTACCTAATCGCCAAGAATTCCGCTATCTTGTAAGCAACGATTACCAACATTCCACGCGCGCGATGTTACCGTATAAATAGCTTTCTGTCGCTTTTTCAGCTGCGACGCGCGTCCAGGTGGAAATAACAGATCTGAGGACTCGAGCGTGCAGGGCAACTATGATTATTTCACGCAGAGTAAGTGCGATTTGAAGCGCGGGTTTACGTAATGAACGCGGTTTGTCGCAACGATCGATTGAGAGATCACGTTAAATTTTTCATAAACAGGTAATGGTGGATTAGAAAGACTGATCTCGAGCCACGTAGAGGTAAGTAAGATCGGCCGGCAGATAGCGGAAGAGGTATTGGACTTACAAAGACGCAGTGAAGACTCCTCGGGTAGTAGTCCTGGTCCAGCGACAGAGACCGGTTTATTGAACACCGAGGTAAATTATCAATTTGGCCGAAATCAACTAATGTTTTTAAATTATTTGCCTATTTTTTTTACAGCCGCAAATCACGACGACGGCGTCGCCGGAGAGGATACCTGACGTTTCCCAGCCGAGTGGCATCTGCAGCGACAACAGCAGCAGCAATCCCTCGTCGACGTTCAACCACGTAGCGAACAACGTGCAGCTCAACAGCATCGCGAATGACCAAGGTCATAGCTATTACTGTCTCTAAGGAGTCGTTTCTTGGTGTAATGCGTTCGCCAAAATTATTCAGAGAGGAAAGGAAGTAGAGAGCAAAGCGCTCGCGAGAGAAAGAATTTTGCTAGCACGCGTGTGTGAGAGCAATTTGATCGATTTGATAAGATTTTCCTTCGAGAGAGATTACGGGAGGCGAATTGATACCATGCAGAGCGTAGCGTTGATTCTGTTTGTCGAGATACAGCCCAACCGCGGGTGTTGATATTAACGATATCACGCACAACGTAACATCCACCTCCTTTCAGGAACGTCACCAGACGACGAGATGATGGACATGATTGGCGGCACCGCGATTAACGAATCGCCAAATCCGATCCCGTCCGACGGCAACGACGAGGCAGCGATGGCTGTCATCATGAGCCTGCTAGAGGCGGATGCGGGTCTGGGCGGTCCCGTGGACTTTTCCGGATTACCGTGGCCGTTGCCATAATGCACATACGCACTTTAGTCTGCGATTTTAGAATACGGAGATGTCTCCTGGTCAAACGAAACGCGCTCTGGTGCTGAAATGGTGCTTTTAAGGTATAGAACACGGTTAAGTTCAGCGAACTTCTAAACGGAACTTCTGAATCGCAATCAATTAATCATCGTTCTTTAAGATCGATATCCGTGAATTTGTAAACCTATATATATGTATATATATGTTTATGCTATATCCCTTTTCCTCTATCTCTTGTCGTTGATTTCTCAAAAAGACATGTTCACGCGGCGAAATAATTTGCGTTCAGCAGCGAGAGACGAGTGTGAACGTTGACGACACGCCCTCAAAGATTACAGTGGTGTGACAATAGTGCGGACAATAACGTGCGAATAACCACGTTCTAGTGAACAAATTGACGTTACACGTGTAAATACATAGGCGCGCGTGCATGCCGCTTAAGTGTACCTAATTAAAACGTAGGAATATCTGTATGCGAGAACTTTTAGAAAATAAATCTAAAATCTTTCAACTCGGTGAACATACGGGATAAATGGAGTTTACTCGTTATGTGTGCAAATATGGACTTCCGAACGCACTATCTAAAAATGATACATCTTTAACTGAATTATACGATCCGATGCTTGCAATCTAGCAATCCCATCTATCTCATTTATAACGTACGACTCGAAAATATCGCAGTAATATTTCTAGAGACCCGAGTGGAATGTGGTAAGGTAAGAAAATACTGTAAATAACATGACATACTGCTGTAATTTATTGTCCGATATTTAAAAAAATAACAAATATTCACAAGACATCTTGGTGTCTAACTACATTCGGTATAAATAAATGGTGGTGAATCTCTTGTGTATGAATTCGAGCTGATTGTTGCGAGAACTTCTTTCCTATGTACAACAGCTTCAGAATACACGGTATTTTGGAATAGGAGAATTCTGTTATACTCTCAACGGATCCGTTAAAGTTATTAGAATACATTTTGGCAAGAGGTCACGATTAATAAAAAGATATCCTATTTAAAAATCTCACATTTTTCATGAGAATATAATTCGAGTGAAATAAGACAGACTGAAACGTGCAAATTCATATTTCGAAGGCTAAGTTCGCGATATTTGGAGAACACGATTTGGCCGTCAAATTCCGAGGTAGTGCGAATTTTGAAATATAATATTTTCCACACGTTTCTATATTAATTGCTACCAGTGTATAAACTCAGGCGAGACATTCTTCTTTACATACAATGTGTGAGAAATTATGTGATTATTTACATCATGTGTATTAATGAGAAAATTATCAAGTAATATATCGTGTACTCCGATACGCGATGATTTATCGATGTTCAGATAAATCGGCCAGATATTAACGGTGTTAATATCTTCTAAGTACAAATCGTTGTTAGATGTTTAATAGAGAGAATTCCTCATAATTGCAAAAGATCGAAATCTATACATAACTGTTTATAAATACTCGTATATTTGTTAGAATTGCTTAAGAAAAATAATAAAAAAAAAAAATTGGAATAAATCGAATGTGTATAATTCGTAATCTCTCCAGCTGATATACGATGTAATACACAACTTTAAATCTTTAAATGTTTCCCATTTCACAGAGTACACGACAATTACAACGTGTACATTACAATAATTTGTATCTATGAATAAAATGTTTTTATGTTTCGTATTATATGCTGTTGCTATAATCCTGTTATTTCATAACATAGTTGATCATGTCCAGTCTTCAGTTTTAATTTTAATAGATTTCAACTGTGAGTCTGTTGAAGTTACCGTGTGTTTCTTAGAACTCTTTTTCCTCTCTTTTTCAAAAGAATCATATTCAATGGAAACTTCTCTTTTTATAAATTTAGGCATTTCTAAATTTTTACTTAAATTTTGCATGTTTTGAGTCTCGTTACTTGACGTTTGGCTTTCGTTTATAATTCTCTCTACAATTGGATCTTGCTTTTCAATCTTTATTTTAACAAAGTGACCTTTTGATTCCGAATCTGACATTTCCATAGATGCCTTCTTGTGTTTCTTGTGTTTTTTGGATACGCTATCTTCTAAATTACTTGAAGAAAGGTCGGCATTTGATATAATATGCTTCTTATCCGTATGTTGGTCTTCTTTTTCAGATTTAATAGTTCTGGAAATAGTGTTCTCTGTATTATTAGTTACTTCTTCTTCGTTCTCTCTAGATTTCTTCGCATGTTTTTTTCTCTTTTTCGTCTCTGTTTCAGTAACGCTATCTGATTGCTCTTCTTTTTCAGATTTGATGTATCTGGAAATAGTGTTCTCCGTATTATTAATTACTTTTCCTTCGTTCTCTGAGTCAAGTTCTCTAGATTTCTTCGCGTGTTTCTTTCTCTTTTTCGTCTCTGTTTCAGAAACACTATCTAAATGCTCTACTCTTTCAGTTTTAATACATCTGAAAGTGATGTTATCTGTATTAATTAATTTTTCTTCGTTCTCTGAATCAAATTCTCTAGATTTCTTTGCATGTTTCTTTCTCTTCTTCGTCTCTGTTTCAGTAATGCTATCTAATGGAATGGAATTTTCTCTCTTCACAGCTTTACGTGACTGTGCAGCTTCATCCAAAATTGTATCATCATTAACCAGTAACTTGGACGTTTTCTTACTTTTCTTATGTTTTTTAGAGCTATTATCAACTTCCAAATTATTCAAAGAATCGTCAGTATTTAATATAGTATCTTGCATACTATGATGATGCGGTTTCTTCTCGGATTTGACAATTCTAGAAATATCATTTCCCAAGTTATCGTTTGACTCCGATTCATTTTCAACTTTACAGGCAATGCTTGAATTGTTTTCACGAGACTTCTTGTGTTTCTTCCGATGCTTTTTCCTCTCTGTCTCAGAAACACTACCGTCTTCTGGCACTCCATTAGCCGAAACATCGATCTTTATAGCGCCCTTCATACTTCCAATTGCACTGTCCACGCTATCAATATTATTTATTATGCTTTCTGATAATCTACAACCTTGTGAGTAATCGGACCTCAAAGTAGCGCAGATGAAAGGGGGTTTGCTCCTGTTATCTATTTGAGTTACGCAGCATTTCACTTCCTGCCCAATCTCGACCGATTCACCTATCCATTCTTCCGTATCGTCTGGTTTCGGAATAGATACAGTATATATTTTGTGCACGAGCACTACGATATGGTCAAAGCCCTTCTTCTTCACTATCCCTGTAACATAATAGAAATTATTATAAATCAGTTTACAGAACACACGTAGCAGCTAGCAAAAATATAAGATTACTTTACCTTTTAGAAAAGATCCGACCGTTGGACAAAACAGATAAAAATCTACTTCAATGTCAATATGAATGAAGGGAGAGTCGTACAGCATTTTTCCCAAATTGCTAAGCAATTTAGGATTTCTAAAAGCCAGCACAAACCCTTTTAATCTAAAATAAAAAATTATTTTGTTAAATTCTATTGTAAATTTCTTAATAATATACTTCATCATTTGTCAAAGTAATCTAACATATTACATACTTTGTCATGTAATTTATTATTATTACATAGTACTACTTGAGTGCAGGTGACAAATCATAATAATAAAATGGCAATGAAAAGATACTTATATTTTAATAATAAATAATAATCGTTTAATCTTTATCTCACTGTTATAAACATTGAATGAAGTACATGCATAACTGAGAATCAAAGAAATAGATATTTTGTGCTTGTGTGTGTAAAAAATATAGATAATAGCGTACTCTCTGTCGTAGGAATTCAACGACGATCTCAAAATCTGGTTAAGACCCCGCTGAACATTATTCAAGTGGTACGGATGCAACGCGAGATGCTTGACGGCCCTCGTGAAGTGCACGTGAGAATCCTCGTCCTCCAGGAGTCCGGTGAGCTCCAGGGTGGACCATGTCACTTGGCGGTTTTGAAACTTCATTTCACTTCGAAGACAGTCGACGTTTTATTAAGTATTATTTAAAACGACGCAGAGAGAAACATCTCGATCGCGAAGTAACGCGTAGTCGCTGTAGGTTAAGTCGCGCTAGAGTCCGTCGGCAAGTCGCAATGTTTTCGAGGTTAGGTTCGTCATTACCGTCAGCTAGCGTACAGCTACACTTCCGCCAGAGCTCCCGCGCTAAACGGCGCCAACGGCGGACAAAATTCTAAGCTTCTTAGGCTTCTCTCTTGTCATTATTCGACCATCGGTTTGGTTACTCCAAAATATTCACAACAAACCATAACAAACTTCAGAAGACGCATATAATTGCGAATGTAAGATTTTATCATCAAAATCCTTCATTTTATTATAAATTAAATTGTATTGTTATATTGTACAGGTAGGAACTGCATGTGGATTTAATAGCCGAGTCGCCGTCGTCCAAAAATATGAATTCGAAGAAGATCATAACCTTCGGCAAGATAAGCGCCAGTTTGGATAAACCGGCGCCCGAGGCACCCGTCGAGACCTCCGGATTCGGCACTTTCGGCAAGAAACGCGAGGAGAACAATGTGAAGAAGATGGACGAGATCAAGCCGGAGGACGAGGAGGAGACTCAAAATATGCAGAAGTTGATGGGCATCACGGGCTTCGGTAAGAAAGCTAAATCCTTCGACGTGCAGGAGATGCTGGAGAACATCACCAAGACCATCAGCAGCAATAAAGCAGCCGTAGTCGAGAAGGAAAGATCCGACGAAGTCGCGGAATCCAAAGAGGACGAGGTGAGCGACGACGACGACGACGATGATGATGATGATTTCATTGGCCCACCAATACCATCTTTGCCAGTTACTTCAGAAGCAATCAAAGATTCAATTGCAGAAAAGAAGAAGGTTGAGAAGAATGAAAGCGACGACGATGACGACGACGACGACGATAAAGAATCATCGGACACTGAAGGGGAAGAAGAGTTAACATTGAGGGACAAGATCCCTTGTTCTCACGAGGTTTCGATGACTCACGGCACTAAAGCGGTGATCGCCATCGCCGCGGATCCATCCGGAGCTCGACTGGCGTCCGGATCCATCGACTACGACGTCTGTTTCTGGGATTTCGCCGGCATGGACACGTCCATGAAGAGCTTCAGGACCTTGCAGCCCTGCGAGAATCATCCCATCAAGTGTCTGCAGTATTCCACGACCGGGGACGTGATCCTGGTGATCTCCGGAGCCGCGCAGGCGAAGGTCCTCGACCGGGACGGTTTTGAGAAATGCGAGACCGTCAAGGGCGATCAGTACATCACGGATATGGCGCGCACCAAGGGCCACACCGCCAGTCTGAACAGCGGCTGCTGGCATCCGTTCGCCAAGGAGGAATATATGACCTGCTCTCAGGACAGCACCTGCCGGATATGGAATCTGTACAGGCCGCGCGGACACAAGAGTCTGATAAAGTGCAGGGCGCAGAACGGCGTGAAGACCATTCCCACCACGTGCGCCTACAGCCGGGAAGGCGCGGCCGTTGCGTGCGGTTGTATAGATGGCTCGATCCAGATGTGGGACCACCGAAAGACTTTCGTGAACCCGTCCCTCGTGCTGCGAGGCGCGCACGCACAATCCAGCGAGGTGTCCAGCCTGAGCTTCTCGTATCTCGGACAGATGTTGGCGAGCAGGGCCTGCGACGACACTCTGAAACTGTGGGACTTGCGGGCGTTCAAAACGCCGATCTTCGAGGCTAAAGGACTGTTCTCGCGCTACGACACCACGGATTGCATGTTCAGTCCGGACGACTCGATGATCGTCACGGGAGAATCTCTGAACAAGGGGGAGACGACCGGCAGGGTGCTGTTCTACGACAGCAAGACGTTCGACCTGGTCAGAGAGATCCCCGTGACGAACTCGCACGTGATAAAGACTCTGTGGCATCCGAAATTGAATCAGGTGTTCGTCGGCTGCGGCAACGGCATCGTCAAGGTGTATTACGATCCGAAGAAGAGCATGAGGGGCGCCAAGCTGTGCGTCGTCAAGACGCACATGAAACAGAAGCACATTGAGATAATGTCTACCCAGCAGATTATAACGCCTCACGCGCTACCCCTGTTCCGTCAGGACAGGCCCAAGTCGGTACGCAAGCAGATGGAGAAGGACAGGCTCGATCCAATGAAGTCGAGGCGTCCTGATCTGCCCATCACTTCCGGCCAGGGTGGCAGAGTCGCGTCCTCCGGAGGGACGCTCAGCTCCTACGTCATCCGCAATCTCGGGCTGAGTAAGCGGATTGAGGACGACCAGGATCCTAGAGAAGCTATTTTGAAGTACGCAAAGATAGCCGAGGAAGAACCATACTGGATCGCGCCCGCGTACAAGAGAACGCAGCCAAAAACGATTTTTCAAAACGACGATCAGGCCGAGAGCGGGCCGAGCAATAAGAAACAAAAAACTTAGACTTGTACTCGCTTTGTATATACGCGCTGTTTAATTATATATGTATATCCATGTACAGTACATGTAGCAAATTAATCGAAGGAGAACGTAACTTTGTTGTAAATGTTGTGTTACAAGATAATATTGTACATAATACATTATAATCTCTTTTAGTATAATTCATATAATTGCGCTAAAATTGCTTTTAAATATTGATTTAACAGACCATTATTTAAAGGTAAAACACAAGGTATTGATGGTATTGATTAATAAGATTTATAATATATGTAATTCGTTGTCTTAAATCTTAAATTAAATTATTAATCAAACGCTACATCTCCCGTGGAGTAATTTTAAAACAATTTTTATTTTTTTCACATTCAATAATTTTTATTTTCATCACATTATTTGAGCATTTATCGCATTATTTTCAGCATATAATTTTTATCTATAAATTGAATTTTTTTATAAGAATATACAATTAAAATGTTACCTGTAACAATCACAGGAACATTATCTTAAAAAGATAAAATATATAATAGATGAAACGTATTTGTTTGATATACAAGTGGTTTATATATTTTAGATCCAAAACAAAATATTTTTTTTAACATTTTTATCGAAGTCATCCAAATTGTATTTTTTCTTATTCAATAAAAATAAACTGCTAATCGATTCTCGAAACTGACCATCGAATTCATCGACCTATGATCACGTGACCGAGTGTAACCTAACCTAACCTCGCGTCGTTTGTGGTCTGGTCATCTGTGTTGTCGACGGTAGAATTTGCGCGGTTTTTCGCAATGATCGAAGATGTGAAGTAGTGGGTTCGATCGAGAGGCTTTAGGACCTCGAGCATTCTCAAGTGGCGTTGAGTTAGAGATACAGTATTCTTCCATCGTGTAAGATAATCTATAAACATGGCCAAGAGAAAATCATACATTCGGAAACGAAGCTCCATCCGTAGATCCACCGGTTCCGGACTTCTCGACCCGGACACAAACATCATGGACGAAGGTAAGAACATCTCCCCTTCATTATTTCTGTGACTGTCACGAGCAAAGTAAAACTCGAAAATGATATTCGACGAGACTTCAATGCATTCTTTTTTTTCCCCGCAGAACAAACATTCTGGTACGATCACTTGCAGGAGAAAACGTTTCCGCGGCATTCCTTGAGTCACACTGTAAACGAAACACCCAGACAGCTGGACCTTAGTTCGCGGATGGAGTCTAGCCAGGATCGTTTGGAATGGTGGAAAAATTTGGATCTCTCCGATAGCGATCACGCTGCTTCGACAAGCTCAAGACACAATTATAGCGCAGGTATAAACAGGCGGAATGTTTAACTTTGTATTCTAGATTCGTAATACTTACATATGTTATCTTTTTAGCGATAGTTAAAACCAATATATTGCAAACTTCAACGTCTGAGTCGGAAAAGGAGCTTGAGTTAAGAAAGCGAAAGGTTCATTTGAGAGCAGCAAATAACAGGAAGAGTACTAACAATGCCTTTTCGAGTGCTTTGAATGATACCGAGGTAACCGTTCCATTAAAATTACGGAAGAAACAAGCAAATTATTCTGAGCTTCATAGCGATTCGGACAGAGGAGTCTCGCGAGAAAGGTTGCAGGAAGATGAAGAGGACGATAATCTTAGCCTAAGTGAGAAAATTTTGAAATCAAAGCCACGTATTTCTCGAAAAAGGAAAAATGACAGTGCAAAGGATCAGAATCCCTTTCAGGATATACTGACGGAAGATGGTGCTTTGAATGGCAACACCAAGAGACAATCGGTCGCGCTTGAAAAGGAATCCTCGAAGCGTTTGATGCACCGAAGTATTGATGTAAGTAAAGAACATGCTGACGATAAAAGGAAATCAGTGAGAGCGTCTCAAGCAATACCACTGAAGAGTGTCGAGACCGATTCCTTGAATTTATTACCTCCAAATGTCGAGAATGCAGCGCTTCAGAGTAATGAGATCGTTCAAAGCAGCGATGAAAGCAGTGAAATTGTGCACAACAAACCTTTGAATGTCCGCCTTCTACA